CTTTTAAGATATCGTTGATAGCCGCTGGTACAACTCCGGTGGGATGTACTGCTAGGCGCGGCTAAGTTGCTTTTCGTAGTTCTACAAGAGTATACATGTGATGATTCTACGTCACTATGCATGGAGGTTATCATTAACTTGGTCGCTCCCACCGCGCCTCTGATTGACCGCCACTTCATCCACCGCGCCTCTGATTGACCTCCACTTCATGTGGGTCATCCTCCACGCTTCCACCTCCACGCTCCATTCGTAGTGCCAACAACAGAAATGCGTTTCACCAAGTCAACAGATCTGGCCAATCACAAGTCAACACATCTGGCCAATCATGGTCGAGGATTCGAATCCCCAAAATGGACCCATTTCAGGGATTCTGGTACTAATAGTAAGTTCCGGAGTTTTCCTCAACCCTATAGAGCTTCAGAGGTTATTTTAAAAAATAACCTCTGAAGCTATATAGAAGTACTCATCTCCGAAATCTCCCTATTAATAATATTAGGTCACATCCTAATTAGTACAGATGAGAGTAAATGTATTCACTGTCAGGACTCGTCCGGGAGCGACATGCACGGCCTACGGGTACGGCCTACCTGCCACTGCCCAACAAGAAGAAAAGTTAGATCATTCGGTGAAGATAGAAGCTTAGATCCGCGCTCTCTTACGGCCGCGCTTGCGCAGACGGCCTCCCGGGCGCTTGATCACTACTTTAGGTTTCATCCAACAAGTATAGTGCATTCATACTACCCTTTAAAGTTCAGGCTTTTCGAAGTATATTTTGTCCAACGCACATACATCGACTGTTAGGCGTCTTGGTCATATAGTAAGGTAACGCATCGAAATCGCGAACAGCATCGAAATAGCGAACAGCATTGAAATAGCAATAAAATAAACATAAATTGTGCATATTTTTATTCCTCAATACAAAATTCAAGATACACGCGCTGTTCGCGATTTAGAAAATCACAACCCGACTTCCGACTTTTATGACTGATCGCAATAACCCATTACAAACAACACATTCAGTTGTTTTATGATCTAATAGGAGCTATAAAATAGTGCTCGAATTATATTTTCCTACCATGCCTTTAGATTTGCGAAATTCCACGGATTTCCAGAGATATGTTGCGTCAACAATTAGACTTGACACGACGCAAAAGGTGTTCTCGATTTCGATGCGTTACCTGACTTTCTGAGTTTCCTGTTAGTGATTATTTTTGCAATTTTATTCTGTATATGGGTAGTTGTATTACTCCGAGACATTATGACAAACTGAGTGATTCATCATTAAATATATCGATATTTATCGCCCAAATGCCTACCGGTACTGTCCCATGGCAGACTTACCAAGTGTTCCGTGACCGAGTCACGGAAGAATAAACTGTACTATAAAAAAATATAATAGTACTTCGAAGTACTACGTAGTACTTCGGAAGTACTTCGAAGTATCAAATTGGTTAATTGGTTATGGCCTAAAACGATCGAAAGTTGCAGGCGAAATAACTGAATTCTGAACAACATATTGTGCCCATGTATACAATGTTGATTGGTTTGTACAGTATCTGACATTGTCAACTTAGTAAGCCATCCCAGTGTACATGCGTCAACCTGCGGACTGCGTTGTGTAGAGGCTTCCACAGCCCCAAGGAAATACAGGATAGCTTAGGGTGTATACTACAGTAGTACGGAGATACAAATCCGAAACCCCGAAACTCCGAATATGCCTTTTCTTCTTCGCATAACATTAGCGCGGAGATTTTACCATATGGTGAAAACGATGGAGCTAAATGATCAATTCGGTAAACTGCATACTATTTACGTATGGGCGCAGTTCCGTGACAACTCGGTTCCGTGACACGATCCATGATTGGTGGAAAACAATCACTCTGACATTTTCAACCAATCACCTGAAAGAATAATTGAGTTTGAGAGGTTACTGGATAATATCAAGTAGCTCGGAACTGTTTTCAGCTTTCACTCTTTTAGTTCATTTTTCATCAACACCAATACGAATTTCGACATGTTTTTAAGTCCTACGAACTACATTAATTCTCCTCTTTAAGAAACACAATTATAATGGCAATTTGGAATAAAGGAACCCCTCCATCGAAGAGTCCCAAAAAGTGTCACGGAACCGTGCCCATACGTAGTAGCATTCATGAATGACAGAAATGGAACGTAAATGTATGATCAAACATCAGCTTTACCGTCAGCAATTGTAGTAGTGACCATGTGACACGTTTCAACTAACTTACCTACCGTAGAAACGTTGTAAATGAACAAGAAATCTACACTTTATTGCGTGAATCAGTTGTGCGTCGGACAAAAATATACCGGAAGAAACCTGAACTTAATGGAAAAATGGTGTAGTATGTATGGATCAACCGACGTGAGGTTGCATGGCACGAGCGTGCCACAATCGTAGCGTGTAAGTACAGTACTATAAGCACAAACTGACAAGCCTGACTACTCGGTGGACCTTTCAACTTATGAAAATGATGATGATGGTTCACGTTTGAAACGTTCGAACAAATACATCGCCAAATCGGAATAATAGCATTTTCATACTAATTGCGCTATTTTGCCCTGAAGTTGTGATTTGATTAGCTATTGTGCTTTTCACATATTTTGCCCGTTGTTTTAGCTCCTAAAACCATCCAAAGTTTAACCTAAACTGAAGTTGCACTCGACGTAAAAGTAAGCTTCCCCACCGTTCTGTCATTGGCTGATCTAAAACTTGCGTTGTTTTACTAAAACTACTTCGTTTTATTAACTCCCGTGGCCAAGCAGTCATGCAGAGTAATGACCTACTGGGGTAAGCTCGCAGTGCACCAGCTCACACGAGCTTTGCAGCCAGCTTGTTAGCAACTCGTTGGCACGAAAAGTCGAGCA